TCCCTCCCTCTCCCCACAGCCCACCACCCCATCTCTCTCCTCCCAGAGAAAGTCTATTGATTGCATTTTCCCCGGAGCCAGGACCCCTGCGTAACTAGCAGTTTAACAAAAAAACCCTTTTCCTTTCTCAGGTTGGCTTCCAATGGGTGGGCGGGTGAGCGCTTCTGGAAGCTTCCGGAGCGTGCCCTGCGCAAATGCAAATGCGGACTGGATGTCGGCGCTGTGTCCCCGGCTCTGGGATGTGCCCCTGCACCACCTGTCCATCCCAGGTGAGGCCGCTCAGGTGGGCGACCCCATGGTGGGTGGGTCCTGGTGGGGAACTGGCCGGGCCTGGGTGCACCTGTGTGCGCGCGCGCGTGCACACACACACACACACACACACACACACACCTCTGAAGGTGGCATGGGAGGGTGGGCGGTGGTTCAGGCGACGCCGGCTAGACATGACTGAGGCGGCAGCGTGGTTGCTGATGGTTGGGAACGTGCCATCCGCGTCACTCCGCAGAAAACGAAGAGTAAGATGGTTTCCAACAGCAGATCTGCAGGGGACAGGCGCCAAGGATGGGGAAACGGGCGCCCTCTGCCGGCGGAGAGGCCGCACGGCTAACGCGGGGGTTGACAGCGGATGCCTCTGTCCCAAGTGCGCGCATCTAAGCACGAGACCCTTTGCACCGTCGGCGCTCGACGGAGACCAGCAGGGCTCCTGGGGGGGGGTCTGCAAAAGCCAGGAAATAAAGCCAAGAATGGACAGACGGATGGCGCCCTGTTACTAGCTTCTGCACAGCAAAGGCAGGGGTGTGAAGAGTCCTGCTGGCTTCTCGCACAGGTGGAAGCCAGGGGGGAAACAAAAAGCAAAACCCAAGGACACTGTGACGGCAGAAGGCGCCGCAGCCACGCCTGACATCCCAGCAACTCGGAGGCTGAGGCAGGAGGATGCACGTCAGAGGCCAGCCATGACGCACAGGGGCGTCCTCCCATGACGCACAGGAACTCTCTTCCTATGACGCACAGGGACAGTCCTCCCGTGACGCACAAGGACGGTCCTCCCATGACGCACAGGAACTCTCTTCCTATGACGCCCAGGGACAGTCCTCCCATGACGCACAGGAACTCTTTTCCTATGACGCACAGGGACGGTCCTCCCATGACACACAGGAACTCTTTTCCTATGACGCACAGGGGCGTCCTCCCATGACGCACAGGGACAGTCCTCCCATGACGCTCAGGGACAGTCCTCCCGTGACGCACAAGGATGGTCCTCCCATGACGCACAGGAACTCTTTTCCCATGACGCACAGGGACGGTCCTCCCATGACGCACAGGAACTCTCCTCCGGTGACGCCCAGGGACAGTCCTCTCATCTGCACACTCGTGTTTCTGCAGTCAACACGTACTCACGTCCTGGGGCTGATGTAACAAGTCACCACAAACGAGGGCTTAGGATCATGGGCGTCGCGACCCCCAGCCCTGGAGGGCAGGGGCTGAGACGGGGTCTCCACGCAGGGCCCCTGCCCAGGCTGCAGGTGGGCGTGCCTGGGGCGCTGTCCACCCGCTGGCTGTGAGGGCAGCTGGGGGGCTGATGGCCGTCCCTGTGTTTCCTCCAGGGAGCCACGACACGATGACCTACTGTCTGAACAAGAAGTCCCCCGTGTCCCACAGCGAGTCCCGCCTGCTGCAGCTGCTGAGCAAGGTGGTGCCATGTGTGACGCGCCCCGTGGTGCTGAGGTGGTCTGTCACCCAGGTAAGGGCCACTTGGGGCCGGGAGGGGGACGGCAGGGCCATCACACGGCACCAGGTGCCCCTGGTGGGCGCTCTTGGGTCATGCCGGAGACGGGGGGAGAGCAAGACCTCGGCCATCCTGAGGCCGCCCCAGGTGGTGGAGAGGCAGGGCCTTGTCACCGAGCAGCAGCACACCCGTCCCTGCTTCAGGGCAGGTGTGTGTGTGGGGGTCTTTTCCCTGCTGCAGGGCAGGTGTGTGGGGGGGTCTCTTCCCTGCTGCAGGAGGAGGGGGGTCTCTTCCCTGCCTCAGGGCCCAGGCTGTCTCCTCTGGCCCCGTCAGATAGAAGGGCATCTCTGCTTTCGCCCCAGGTGCCCCCCTCCTGCACCCAGCCCTCTGTCCAGGTGGGGCAGGTGCCCTAGACACACCAGGGCATTGGATTTGGTGCTGTGCAGAAGGGGCCCCCTGGAGGCTCAGGGGGCCTCCTGTTGGGAGGCTCAGCCGGCCTCAGCCACCCCTGGAGAGGCCTGGGAAAGGGGCGCCCCTCCGTTCTGGGGAGGAAGGAAGGTTGGCAGGAAGCGGGGCCCACCCTGGGGGGGAGTGGACCACTCTTCCTCCTCTGCCTCCTGTCCGAAGACGGTTGGTGACAAAAGGTCTGAGGGTCAGGGACTTCCCAGGGACACAAGACTGGCCCCAACGTCCAGCTCTGTCCTGTTGAATGTACTGTTTCTGCGTCTTAGTGACCACTGGGGCAGCAGGAGCTGTGGGGACCTGCCGGGTGGGGGAGGAGCACCTGTCAGGGGTCAGACCTGCAGGTGGCATCTCCTCATCCTGCCAGGGGTCAGCAGACAGTGGCCCTGCAGGGGGGCGTCCCCCCACACCTGTCCTCTGGTGGTCATCCTCTCCTGCCCGAGGGCTGTCCACTCCCACTGCATGGCCCTCCCACTCTGGCGTCCAGCTGAGCATCCTGCATCCTGACTGGGGATGCCAAGGGCTGGGTGGATCCAGGGCTGTGGGGCATGCGCCCCTAGTGGGGCCCCCAGAGACTGTTGGGACAAGGGTGACCGTGACTGCCGGATGTCCCAGAGACCAGCGTCAGGGCTGGGGTGGACTGAAGCCCAGGACGGCAGTGGGCTCTGGCTGGGCAGCTGAGGCTGCTCACCCCGAGCAGGTCTCCCCAGGGTGGGGCCCAGGTAGCGTGGGGCTTGCGGTTCAGCAGACACCCAGCAGGGGTCCCCAAACAGTGCCGCACGGTGGGCGACCTCAGTGCCTCCTGAGCCCCAGGGACAGGGTCACTCGCCCAGGAGGGAGCGGCCTGCTGGCCCGGGCAGAGATGACGGGCGTCCCTCGGCAGGCGCTGGACATCACGGAGCAGCTGGACGCCGGGGTGCGGTACCTGGACCTGCGCATCGCGCACATGCTGGAGGGCTCGGAGAAGAACCTGCACTTCGTGCACATGGTGTACACGACGGCGCTGGTGGAGGTACACGGGGGCCCGGGGCGGGCAGCCACGTGCAGGCCAGGGGGCGGAGCAGGAGGACACCTACGCTGTCCAAGGGGCGGGGCAGCCACGTGCAGGTCCAGTCTGGTGGTCAGACCTCGGAGGTAGCCTGCACAGCGCCCCCTGGGCTTGGTGGTCTTCCGCTCCGTGGCCCCAGGCTTCCCAGAGACTCCCCACGTTTGCAAAGTGGGCGGAACCGGCCCCCAGACCCCATTAGGCTTTCCGAATCCACTGTCTTCCCGGATGCCCAGGCTTTGGGCAAGCTGCCGTCCTCCCAAAGCCTGCGGGCTGTTCCCTGTGTCCCCACCCTGTGTCCCCACTGCACCCAGGCTCCCAGTCTAGAGGCACCTACTCTGGGTCACTCTGCACCGTTGGCCTGGCTCACGCCAGGAGCCTTGGGACCCCACACCTTTGACTCACAGAGGCTTGTGTTTGGAGTGTGCTTGTAGACAGACACCTGCACACGTGTACACACGCATGTGACACAGACACACGCAGAAAGGCAGACACCCAGCATACATGCGCACATAGACATGCCCAAACACACGTGCAGGAAGACACACAGATACGCACATGCATGTGCCATGCAGATGGACACGTATGCGTTTGTGTACGCGTGAACACAGGGCAGCACACTGATCCAGATTCACATGTGCTGACACGCACACATAGATGTGCATGCACACAACACGCACATACAGGCATGTGCACAGGCATGGATACAGACACCTGTGAACAGATATGCTCCGTGTGCACTCACACCCGTAAACAGACGTGTCCGTGCACACAGGACCGTGCATGCCCTCCTGTGCCTGGGCCACCCTCCCTCCTGCTGGCTCCCCCCCGCCCCCCTCCCCGGAGGCTGTGTGTCCTCTGGGCAGCCCGGCCTCCCGTCTGCAGCAGAGGAGGCCCACCTCCCAGGAGGCCCCTGGCCCGGCTGCCCTGTGGGCGCGCGACTGAGCCTGGCCCCTCACCCAGGACACCCTCACGGAGATCTCCGAGTGGCTGGAGCAGCACCCCCGGGAGGTGGTCATCCTGGCCTGCAGGAACTTCGAGGGGATGACGGAGGACCTGCATGAGTACCTGGTGGCCTGCATCAAGAACATCTTTGGGGACATGCTGTGCCCTCGAGGGGTGAGGAGGGTGCACTGCGTCCAGGGCTTGGTGTGTGTGCCTGGTCTGGCGGGGACAAGCCGGTCACCAGGGCCTTCTTGCTTCCCTGTGAGGGGGGCCGGGCAGCTTGGCAGGGGTGGCCTCTGGGGCCGGCGTGCAGCAACGCCATGGTCTGTGTCACCCACCGGGCACTTGCAGGGTCTCGGTGCCCTCACCTGGCACCCAGCCGGGGCTCAGGACACGAGACGCAGCCCTGGAGGCCAGAGGCCAGCCCCGGTGCTGACTGGGGTCCAGAGAGGATGCGCCCCCCTCCAGCTGCTGGGGGTGTCCTGCTGTGGCCCTGGCATCCCACGTCTCTGTGCCCAGCACCCCCTTGGACAGCACGGGGCACGCGTCACGGGATTAGGGCCTGGCCCCTGCAGAGTGACCCGTGCAGCTGAAGAGACCCGCAGAGCCGTTCCCAATAGGTCCCGGGTGGGGGCTTGGAGCATGGGCTGGGGACACAGGTCACCCTCAGCACAGCCCGGGGTCAGCTGTAGCAGTGTCCTGCATCCGGGCCAGTCCCTGCAGGGGCCCTCCTAGGTCTCATGGCCCTGGGTCACTGCAGGTGCCCTCCTGGGACACTCAGCCACGGCGCCACCCCAGCCCCAGGTCCCCTGTCACGCGGCACCCAGTGACCCCGACCCTTGCAGGAGCTGCCCACGCTGCGGCAGCTGTGGGCGCGGGGCCAGCAGGTCCTGCTGTCCTACGAGGACGAGGCCGCGGTGCGGCGGCACCCGGAGCTGTGGCCGGGCATCCCCTACTGGTGGGGCAACAAGGTGAAGTCGGAGGCCCTGATCCGCTACCTGGAGGACATGAAGAGCTGCGGCCGCCCGGGTAGGGGGCCGGCCCTCCCTCCCGGGCCCACGGAGGGGACGGTCAAGGGGGCGGCCTGGCCGGCGTCCCTCACGCTCGTCGTGTCCCGCAGGGGGCCTGTTCGTGGCCGGCACCAACCTCACCGAGGACCTGGAGTACGTGCTGGCGCACCCGGCGGGGTCCCTGAAGCAGGTGACCCTGTCCAGCCTGTCCGCGCTCAGCGCCTGGGTCCGCGAGCAGAGCCCGGGGCCCGGCGCCCGCTGCACCAACATCATCGCCGGCGACTTCGTGGGCGCCGACAGCTTCGTCGGCGACGTCATCGGGCTCAACCAGAAGCTGCTGTGGGGCTGACGGTCCCCTCCGGTCAGCTGGAGGCAGCCCGGGGGGCAGCCCTGACCCAGGCTGGGCCGGCGCTGCTCCAGATCCCGCGAGAAGACGTCCTCCGAGCTCCAGATCCCGCGAGAACACGTCCTCCAAGCTCCAGATCCCGCGAGAAGACCTCAATCCCAGGGACGTGCCTGTGGTCAGGGATGACCACAGGGTGGGTCCAGCGGGTGGGTCCCGGGCAGTCACGACCACGGGTGGGTCCAACGGAAGTGCCCTGGTCAGCCATGGATGTGCTCAGGGGCATGGCCATCACGATGGGTCCAGCAGATTTGTCTGTGGTCAATGATGACAACTGGGATGGGTCCAGTGGGTGTGCCCTGGTCAGCTGCGACCATGGGATGGCTCCAACAAATGTGCCTGTGGTCAACCATGACTGTTGGGATGGGCCAGTGGGTGCACCCTGGTCAGCCATGACCGTGGAGATGTGTCCAGTGCTGTGCTCTGGTCAGCCATGACCATGGGGATGCGTCCAGCGGTGTGCCCTGGTCACCGAGGCCTACTCAACCCAACCGGCAGCATGGCCTGTGCAGGGTGCGGATGCTAGGAGAGGGGTCAGCGCCTCCTCACCCTGTGCTTTAGAAAGTCCCCGCTTCCAAGAGTGGACGTCCCCTGGACGGACGGGGTGGGGACCTGTGCAGAGACCCTCTTGCCGTGGTCAACACATGGCCTGGCTGTCACCTCACTCTGACATCGCCCTTTCCCCGGGCAGCAGGTTCCTGCGGACCTGGGTCCATCTTGCTTTGCCAGCTGAGGGGTGGCCAGTGGGCGGTCCTGTGTCTGCTGGCCCCGCAGTGTCACAGGGGGTCTGGTCTGTGTTCTAGTCTCTGCATCCTGGAGCTCGGGCACCTGGCCTTGCAGCCC